ATATATACATTGCTTTCACACAAGTCATGGCAAGTTGTTTTCACTCATGATTAATGAGTAAAATAGCTAACAGGTTAATATATTGGATTTATAACAGAGCAATTGATCCACTTTTTTATATGAAACCTTCAAGAGGCCCATAAAACAAAAACTTAGCTTTTAAATCCATTTATGGAAGAGATAGTGAAGGACTTGAGAATGATCCTTGTAAAAAAAATCTTTCTGTAAATCACTGGACAGTCAAAAAGGGATGATGAAATCAGAATATTTTTTAAATTAATTCCTTGACTGGACAACACTTGTAAATAAAGTGAGATTAAAAATCATTATTAATGTATTATCTACAAGTTCCTAGGCCTTTGTTTTTGCATTTGTAGTGTTTAGAAAAATGTGAGATTTACCTTAAGAATGAACAATTTGTAAAACATTTTTCAAATCTTAGAATTGCCAATGAAGCTAGCTTGTAATAGCTAGTACTAGATGAGTATTGCCAAGACTTTTTGCTTAAAAATAAAATTAATTCTGATGAAATAATAATAAATGAAAGAGCTTTACTGTTATTAGAACTGTTTGTTGATATATTTAATATAACAACAACACTAATATATATATATATATATATATATATATATATATATATATATTTTTTTTTTTTTTTTTTTTTTTTCTTACAGGTCAATTTGTTCAATGCTGTACTTTTTCGATTTATGATTCTAGACAGAACAGGAATTTTCACACAGGATGTGAGGAACTGTTAAAATGTACAATTTTTTTCTAAACTGATTTTTAAAATTTTCAAGAATAATTATTTTTTCAATTACAGGAAAAATTGTACCTTCATTTAGTAATGAAGAAAGGGATTTGTTTTATGGCTTGGGAGTTCTTTGTTTTAGATTACACTTTGATCCAGTCGGTAAATATTGATTAATTTTATTTATATTGTTAAAATAATAACTGTTGTCATAAATTTAACTGAGCATTTTTGTTTTGTTTTTTTTTCAATAAAAAATAAGTACAGAGAGTTTGTTTGTTTCTGATTTGTAATCTCAACAGAAACAATACAATAATATCATTAAACAAAATATTTAATTGTATCACTGTATTTATAATAAAGTTTGATCTTAAAAAATTAAAAGAGTTATTTTCTAACCATTTTGGTGTTAAAAAATGTTCACAAGACATATACATTGGTATATATACAAATAAAACATCATTGCGCATAGGCTTGTTTTATTATCTCTACTCATACTAATTTATATTTTCTTTATCAATGTGTTGTTAACATTCATTTTATTTTAGGTGGTTGGCGCTTCTTCAACAATACTTGTTATTTTAATTCAGTACAGTTTAAGTAAAAGAGAATTGTGGTGTGAAGAAACATAGATATTAATTGTACTTTATGTTGGAAATAAAATAATTTATTTTCACCAAATGCGATTAAAACCATTACCTAGAAAATTCCCATTGTATGCAAAAATTCCTGCTATTTTTTTCTTTTCAATTTTAATTAAAGTAAAATGAATTGGAATAAAGCATAATATTCCCAAATGAAGAACAATAATAGTGTATTTAATCGCTTAGTTAGTTGTTCTTAATGAGTTGAATAAAATTGAAGGGGCCCAGCATGAACTGTTGTTGATTTGGATTCTTTAATCAATCTTAAAATAGCAAGAATACTTGTTATTAATGTGAATTGAATTAAAATAACTAGAATACATTAATCAGAAATATGACATAAACAGACTTGGTGAGATACTAACCCAGAAGTAGCACTCATTAAATAGTTTTAAGTAGAAAGATCTCCAATCCAAGAATATTAGGAAGAATTATGAATCAAAAGAATCGGATACAATAGAAATTTGATGGTTTGGTGGAGCCAATAAATAAATAAAAAATAATTTAAAAAAATAAATAAATAAAAGTTCATATGAAAACCTTCTAAACTTCTCAATTGTATGCTTCTTTAGTGGCACCCAGATTAGAGCGCTTTAGCAGTTCTATACAGTTTCCAAGATTGTCTATTATACTAAAGCTACTAATAATGAAACTCCACTCACTTTTAACTTGTTTTCAGTAAAGCTAAAATTAGACAGCTGACCAGAATTCAAAGTAGGGTCTTATTTCCTGAATCTTAGCACTATACGACACCAATCAGAAAAGCCCGCGAAAACCCAGAGAGAAGAGAAATAAAAATGGGGAGCCAAACGGGAACAACTATATAGATTACTACATATTACATTATAAATATTCAAAGACATCTTGTCATCAATTAGCAATTTGTTGCTCCAATTTTCTACTAAGGCTTTATAGCATATGGATTTATAGCACGAAATGTTGATCGAAATTAGCTGAGTGTCTTAGGAATCATAAAAACAACAGTCTGGAACAGTTTTTGAAAAATTAATATTCTAGGATCTTAATGAAAATGAATAAAACTGTCTGAAATAGGCCCCAATTTTTTTTCGACGCTATGGGAATAACTAAACCATTTTCAACTTAGGTTCATTTAAATTCTACTAATTAATTCAAAATTATAGTTAGATGCTTATGGAAGATTGAGGGAAACCATCATGTTCAAGACTTCTGCAACGAACATGGAGAATTCATCATTCCAATGAACATATTTGACTTCATCGAAAAATACAATAAGGTGAGCATAAAGAAATGAAAGTGGTACTAAAAACTAAATCAGGGGTATCCAAACTACGGCCCGAGGGTCAGATTGGAGGTGCGTGTGCCCCAAATTATTCAATAAAACGTTTATTAATAATTATATTTATTTAATATTAAGGTATATAACGATTTTTTCTATATTGACTAAATCAGGAGCCTCTAAACTACGGTCCGCGAATGTTTCTTTGATTACATGGTAAAATTTTAAAAACATAAAATTTATTAAATTACTCAAACATAAGGTTACTATAAGATTTATTGCACGAGTTGTTTCTCTTAGAAAACTCATTTTACAACCGACGTATCAATTATAGAACAAGATTAACCCTTTACTGTTTGCGCTCTTCCAGAACGATTCACACGAAAATTAAGACGAAACGGTAGACATAGCAGGAATTAATATTAAGTGTTTGTCGTATGCGTACGATGTTGTGCTAGCCTCTCCTTCAGTAAAGTTAATGCGAATGATGAACAAACATTAAAATTACTGCCGTATGTGGAATTTACATATAAATCTAGCAAAATAAAAAAATTAAGTTTTCCTCAATGGAGGCAGGCTATTTAAATTTAAGAAGTGAATCTCATCGTGAATGAGTATAAATATCTGTACGTAATAACTACACAAATGTTGGTCTTGGGGCGTCACTCCCGTGAAACAATTTTGGTTTTTATAGAAAGGTTTGGGGTTTCAAGCAGTATGATATTTTCGAAAAATTCAAGAGATATTTATAAAAAAAAATTGTTGTTTCTCCTGAAATATATACCTAATTATATTTGAGCATATGAAACGAGCATCAGCTCTATATATGCTTACAAGCGAAAATACATTTCAATTATGTTTTGAAAGTTCGGGAGATGCCTGATTTTCGTTTGCTTTTGTAAGTAGCAGGAATATTATCAAATTAAACTAAATTTTTAAATTTCGGTAATCTGCAAGTAAAGTTCATCACAATCAAACTTAGTGTAGGTGAAGCCGGAAAGCAAAGTAATCTCGAAAAATATTTTCATTCCAGTTCTACAATATGTACCGGCTTATGTGCAGCTGACACTGTATCCTTAATGTATCAACCTTCTGTTGTAGGACAAATTACGCAATTTAAGAGTCAAGTCATGAACTATAACTGTCCGGTTTGCAATTCCAGAGAAAATGAAGACATGGTCCATTTTCTGGTTGAGTGCTTTATGTATAGCGAGATCGGAGAAAAATGTTTTGGTAAGCAAACTTGTTCTCCTATAGAAATGTTTAAATTACTAAAAGTTACAAACTGGAGAGACTCAAGTAATTATATAAAGCAAACCACATTCCAAAGAGCTCAGCCATACTGCAGTCAGTATGTGAACGATCAATAGAATACTTTATTGTTATTTGTTATATTACATACTTTATTTGATATTTTTTTCTCGTTATTATATTATTTATTATTGTTGGAGCATGAACTTTCAATATTTATTTTATTAATTAATCTAATGTGTATTTCTGAATTAATGTTGGAATATAATTTGAGAATATATTAATCAATTCATGAGTAATTAATAAGTTATCTATTTAGTATATAGAATGAAATTTATTTTGTTGGAATAAAACACAGACCTCGGCATACGGGATCTTCTATTGTCTATTGTGGGTATATTTTGTATCTTGATTATGTTAGTATACTCGTTTTCATTTATTCATTATAGAACAATATTTTTCTTCTTTTCATCGTAAGCCATGGCTTGCAGGACTTAGTGGAGGTCTCATTGCGGTCCACGGGCCTTGCATCGACGATGGTCTCGATGTGCCCGCGGTCCAATATGTTTGGTGACCCCTGCACTAGATAAAGACTGTTTCTAGTATCATATCCCAAAATATCGTAAAGAAAACTAATCCGATCCCGAATCTCTTCTCATACATTCATAATAAACAAAACTGTATAGTTGGATAAAACCTACGAACCTAAAATTTGCGAAAGTATAATTTTCCTAAAAAGAAAAAAATCTCAATATATTTTAATTTGGATTAGGATTTTGTTATTTTTTGTTCAGTATTATTCTTTTGAACATTTACATGATATTATTTATTTTAGAATTTATTTTTTTACCATTATGAAGGTTAGTAACAGTTAACAGTTAAATAATTAAATGTTTAATGAAATACACAAAGTTCTTTTGTAATACTTAAGAAAAACTGCTATTATTTGTTGTTGTTTTTTTCCTGACATAAGTAATGTCCACAGGAATTTATCATATTCCTGAAAAATTATTAATTATTTTGTATAGGCTCGAAATGAACTTCCTCTTTGGAACAAATTGTATTAATCGATACTACTTCTTGTTTGAATTCAAATGTTGAATATCTACCAATAATTTTTTATCACTCTGTGTTATCATGAAGTAACGAATTCCTCAAAATATAAAAACAAGAACTCCTTTTCTGACTACAAGAAAATATGATGTCCAGCAATGGACCTCTCATTTCGATCGTTTTATTAATTTTAAGTCTGTTTAAGCATTACTCTAGTGTATTTTTAATGAGTCTATATCATCAGTTTTATAATGGAATTGCTGAATTTCAGTGAATGGATATTAAAACATTTTAACGTATGCGTTTCTGACAATGCATGTAACATTTTTTTCCAATTTGACAGTTCAGTGCCTTCTTATATTTACGATTTTGATACATGCCAACCATGGCAATATTTTTATAGACATGTCATTCAGAATATTACTATAAGCAGTAAAAAACCCCAATATGACTTCTTCGTTGATCAATTAATGGTGAAGAACAAGTTATGGGAAAAATTGTATTACATTGTTGGAAAGAATTTTTTTCTTTTCTTCTTTCTTGAATGTAGGATTTATTTTAAATGGGGGAAAAATACATATATATTATTGTCAAATAATAAGAAAAAAACATTGACAAAAACGTTTGTCCCTTCCATTACTTATCATGATTCACAATTTTCTGTGTTTGAAGAAGGACTTGACCAGGATATTAAAATAGATTTGTACAGAGTATTGTTTAGTTTAGTCAGGCCTAAAGAACTACAGAAGATCATTGCTCACAATGAACCAAATTTACTGAAAAATGATATTTTAAATCAGTATGTTGGTTCTGAGTTTTCAAGGAGTAATGCGTTTGGTAACCGACAACTGAAATGTCTTAAAACAATAATTAATAATAGCCCAACGGTTAAAGAGTGTAAATTAATTTTAGACGAAATTGTCCCGATACAGGTGTATAAACGTTTTTACATTATATTATGCGATATGTTAACATGGCTTTAATTAATAACTACATATACATATATTTTTTATATTCTAGGAGAAAGTTGTTACCATACAGAAGGTTAGTTTATTTCTCACTAAGATGATTGAAAAGTATATACCTTATAAACTTTTATTTCGAAGGAATTTTCTAAATAAATTTATAAAAAATATGCAACAATTTTTGAAGTTTAATACCAAACAAAGGTTAACTTTGGGCTTTGTAATGAAAGGTATAGCTGAAAAACAAGATCCATTGAGAAGGAAAGTTATTGCGAAAGTTGTTATGTGGATAATTAATGTGTTTTTAATGAATATCATACGATCTTTATTTTATGTCTCCATAGGGAACAAGGTAATATTTTGTAATGTATTTATATGAAAATATAAGTTGTTTGTTTTAAATTTGTCATACATCTATTAGTTTATTTTTTTATAAATCATAAGAATCTCTTACTGAATTTTTAATATTTGTGGCCTCTGACCTAAATCTGGAGTCCTCTCGCGTTATTCATTAAGGCAGTTACCAACTTTCTGAATTCTTAAAGACTCAACACTCAAAAACTTAACTATCGACGAATGAGGCCCTCTGTTCATTATTATAATCCAATAACCTTTCTCAAAAGATATCCACATGGTCAATGTTATTTTTCAATTCACTATAACACCTTCATGTATTGTAATGTCTTTAAAAAAACATGTAATTGTATCAAATTTGTTTAAAAATAAATTAAAGTATAACAATCAATAGCCTAGTCCTGGTTTATTTCTGTAATCAAAGTATATCAAAGCTACAAAATATATTTCTACATACTATGTTCTCCTTATTATACTTTAACATGTACATTTGATATAAGAATTAATAGATTTTATTTGATTGTTTTTAATTTGTATCTAATTATTAAAAATGTAATACTTTTAGGGTAATACATTAATATTTGCTAAACTTGAATTTTGTATTACTGCCCGTAAGATGTCTATTCAGAAAATGATTGACAACAATCAAATGTTGGAAGTAAATGATCCCATTAAAGTTCAACACATGAAGAGTATAAAATTCTACCCAAAATGTAGTGGCTCTGGTTATCGTCCCGTAGTAAGTAACAGGTAATATTCATCTGAATCAAGACTCATATAAGTTTTCAGAACTTGTCTTTCAAAAAGATTGTTGGAAATTCATCCAAGTACTTATCCAATTGTTATATTTCCTGTAAATGTACATAAATCCTTTTCATTTCATATTGGTATTTGAACTGCATATAACAATATTTCAGTTTTATTTGCCAAGTAAGTCGCTATAAAGCAGAATCACCGCCTTAGAAATGAAATATCTCAGAAGACTATTCATTCATACTGGGTGGGAACTCATCAAAAATAACAGAATGGCTAGGGGTGAATTAACTGAGATCATAGAGAAGAAGTAATTAAAGTGATTTGGACTTATATGCCAAATAGACAAAGATTTCAGACCTCCCAAGTTCTTTAAAGCTAGACCCATCTGGCAAAACACCAAGTGGCAGATGCCTAAGGATGTGTTGGATGGAAGTTGTGGCTCGATTAGGAGAGAAGAGAGGAAAGCACAGACAAAGAACTGAAACATTTAGTATGCTTGAGTCGAGGCATCTCTATGCTGAAAGCCACAGAGGTGGAAGAAAAAGAAGAAGTCTTTATAAAATTATAAAAATTATCAGCAAGTATAAAATATTAAAATCTGAAATATATTACAGTCTTAATTTTAAGCTATAATATATTTATCCACTGGTGTAACAATTATTTTTACCTTAAAATAATATATGTCTTTTGGCTTCAATACCATTTCTTCAATCATATATGTTGTTAATAGATTGAAAAAATTCTTTCGTTCTTGTTTTGTGGTGTAAAATCTGAAAACAGTTGCTCAATTCATTTAAAAAAAAAAAAAACAATTTTCTGTCACGTCAACATTTTGAAACACTTAATATTTTTATATAATGAAAATACGTAATCAGTTGCTGATTGATCTGGTGGGTGCTGAAGAACATCAATGTTTAAATCTATAAGATTCTTTATGTCATCAATCTCAAAATAGATAATCATTACACTTCAAAACTAAAGTTCTCCTTTAATTACTTGTTCATAAATACCCATCATATTTACTTGTATTTTATGTTTACTTGTATCAGCTCTCAAAACTGACTTAGTATATTAAAACAATGTGACGTTTTTGTCTCGACTGTTGAATTTTTATGTTTTTTATTTATTTTTTTTAGTAAATCTGACCAGCTTAATAAAGACAAACTGGAACTTTGTAATATATTTCTTAAACAACTGATAGCTTTTAAAAAGAAAAGTTTTCCTAATCCATCGAAAGAACTTCATACTGCCTGGGTGAATCATATGAAACTGAAAAGTAGAAATACTGAAAGTTATTTCGTTAAAACAGACATAAAGGATGCTTATGGGTCAATCATACATGTAAGCTATTTATAATGTTATTAATTTTTATATTGATTTCTCTTAAGTGACAGATATTAAGAAACTTTGTTTTATATATTATAGGTGAGTTTTTTTTTTAAAACAACTGTCACAACCATTGATTTCTCCTTTTCCTTTTCTATCATTTAATAAAAAAAACCATCCAGCCAAGATTCTCTCAGTTTAATTTAAAGTTGGGATGTTGTGTATAGTACCATTGTGTCAAGACAAGCAAAAGATTTATTTTCTAATGTAAATAAATCAAATATTGCTTACAGAGACCTTAATATAGTAGAGAAAAAAAAGGTACTTATCAAAACTGAAAAAGATAAATGTACACAAAAACATTCTCAATTGGATATTTTAGATTATTGAAATAAAATAGAAGAATACAGAATATAGAGGTACATGTGAATGCAAAATCTCATTTTGGAATAAAAGTTGAGAAGAATCTATGGTTTGTAAAGCAACAAAGAATCTTGTTTACTGGTTGGTGGTCATTTTTGTAATTTACCTTCTAAAAAATTATAAGAAACTCAGAAATTTAGGAAGAACTCTCCCATACAAAACTGTTTTAGCTTTGAGATCGATAAACAATCTAAACCTTGTTGGATCAAACAATCAGGATACTTCATGCCAAGTTGAGCCATGCAATTAACTCTAACAAGTCTAAATATATGAGTACCTAATTCATCATAGGAAACTGTAAAATACTATATTACCTTGGTTTATTTGAATTAAACATATACAATATGATAAGATTTTCCAAAGCACCCTGATGGTTTCTTCTTCTGCATATGGTTTCTATGGTCCACACACAGCCTTTGAAAAGTGGTTACTCTTAATTAAGGGCAAAACCTAGTGGTTAGGTATTATCCCAGTCATATCAACTCCTTGCACAACCATTGATTTAGAAATACTAGTTTCTCATAGTTCATTAAGTAATGAACCCAAGACCCTTTATGGGTTGTAGTTCCATAATTTTTTTTTATTAATCTATTGTTCATTTCAGCACAAACTGAAGACAGTATTGAAGGAATGGTGTGAAGGATTAGAGGATAATTTAATACTCATGTCTTTTGAATATAAAGGAAAATGGGGAAAAACCGAAACTTTAAAACAATTTATAAACTTTACTCCATCAACAGGAGAAAAAATTTTGTATTGCAAAACTGGAACAGAAGAGGTAGATTTATTTTCACTTTCTATGAATTGTTTTTATCATTATACAGAAAAATAAGTCCTCAGTTGTTTCTTATGTTTTTCTTAGCTCTGTTACTTAAATTATGGCATGTAAAAAATTGTATGGCTAAAAGTTAGTCGAAAATAGTATTTAATACTTCTACTTATTTATATCTATTTTACTTTTAATGATTTTCTTTCTTCGATGAAAATATTATAGAAGAACAATTAGCATAAGTGAAATTTTTATTTTCTTTCTAAATTAATCATTCTTGACTAAAATAATTATAATTTTTTTAATTGCACTTTGTGTTCTTTGTTTTTTTTTTAAATTTTAAAAATATTAGAAAATAAATAAATAAAACAGAAATTGACTGTTGCAGATAATTCGTTTAAGTGAACTGATATCTGATATATTTTGTTACATTGACAATATTTATGTTGGATTTTCAAATAAGAAATATAAAATAATCACAGGAGTACATCAAGGTAATTTATTAATATTAATTATTACTTTAAGGTACGAATGTTTATAAGAAGATTACTTTTATTTATTTATGTATATTTTTTATTATATATGTTTCTATTTTTTTTTTTTTTTTTTTTTTTGTATATATTGTATGAATGGACTCTTGTAGCACTAATACTTGTTGTCCTTCATGAGGCAGATTGTATTATCATACAATAAACTATTAATAAAAAAAATAATATTATTACTTTATCTTATGCTAAGGTTGTCCATTCCTCCTAAGAGTAATACCGTCCTCTTCCGATAAATTTATGTTGCTCTCCTATACATAAAAATGGTGCAAGTAAGTATTGAATCAACAAGGATGCAATAGAGCTAGATGCAGATAAATGGAAGGAAATAGCCCAAGATAGGCAGAAATGGAGTAGGCTTTATAAGGCAGCAAAAGATCCATGTTAACAGAAAGAAAAAATCTCAGTTTAATACATCGATTAAAATAAGACACTGCATCTTCTTCATTCTGTTTATGAGAATGATGATTAGGGATTAAATTTTTATGGATGTTTATGATAAAAAAAGTTACTGAAAATTCACCTAGGCAGGCGTCTTTTGTTAGAAATGTATCCCCTTTTCTTCTGAATGAATGAAACAGTCCATCCACTATTACTTCCATATATATATATTATTTTTAATTGATGGAGTGGTCAATCTATCAAAGTTTAGATTACTTTGATACTAAGATTGTACTGTTCAAACTATAAAAACAGTTGGCTGTCAGTACTGTAGTTGACATTTAAGATCAATAATCATTTATCTTTATAATAATTATTATAACATTACAATTAGTTTTCTTGTTTATTTCCAGGTGGTAAACTATCAGCAGCACTATGTGAAATTTATTATACTTCGCTAGACCAAAATTATTTATTGCGGTTAAGTGATTTTCAAAAAGGTGATATATTATTAAGAGCTGTTGATGACTATTTATATATCAGTCAAGATTCAGAGAAGATAAATGAGTATGTTATCAATATCCTTCTTTTTTTTGCCAAAATCTCAAATATATCACTTTCTTGTTCACAAAACATCGAAAAACATTAATGCAGTTTACAAGCCACTATATATTTATTTTGATAATGTTACATGTTTTTATCAAAGCAAAAAAATAGATATTGTAATATTGGAACCCTTTCCTAGGAATAATCAGGGATTTTTTTTTTTTTCCTATTTATTTCTCATTATTATTTTATCCAAACCTGTGGCTATTGACACACTATTAGGTATGGCGTATAAGAAATGGCTTAAAAAAATGATACCGAATTTTTTAATCGTATATCGTAACTTTATTTAATAAAATAATAATAATGTTAACACTTTTTTATTTAGGTGAAATAATGTCTAGTTTATTTATCTAACTCTTTAACATCTGAATTATTTACTGTTTCATTTACAATTTGCTTTTTTGGTTTCTCAGATTTCTAGAAATTATGACAAAAGGGATTCCAGAATATGGTATGATAATACAGAATGATAAAACCATTACAAATCTTGGTGAATTCAATAAAGAAATCTTAAGCTCCAATTTTAACATTCCGTTTTTCGGATTTAATTTAGATGTGAAGAATGGTTATATTACTCCATGCCTGAATAATTATGAAGGTCTTGATATAAAATCAACTATATCATTCAATAAATTGAATAAAAGGTACTAAGTTATTTATCTTTCTTAAGTATTTTATACATAAATTATATTCTCTTTTTTAATTTAAAAGAAAATATTTTTAATTTCTCAAAATTTCATTCCAGAGTTCTGCTACAGAAAATGAGTTCCATTATATCATTGAAACTTCATCCTATGCTATTTGATCATACGTATCAACCAATAAGAATTTTGCTACTCAACATTCACTATGCTTCTTGTGTTATGGCTATTAAATTTATAGCCATTGTTCAATTGCTAAAAATTGCTAACATACAGCTTGAGGAAGAGTACTTAATATTGTGCATTAAAAAAGCTGTTTCTGCGATCGCTTCATATGTTTATAGAAGAGGTAAATCACATTCTGAAGAATTTGTCACTTTTAATATCTTTCAACTTTGCATATCAACAATATTGTCTTTATATTTTCAGGTAAGAAAGCAATTGAATATCGTGCTGCTAAGAAAATGGGATTAAAATCGTTCATTTTAATTTTTAAAAGAAAAAAATACAATTTTAAATTAGTAGATGTATTACTACTGAAAGCTAGTCATTTAAGTGTGAGATCGAAAAGAGTTGATCGACTTATTAAATTAGTCGGGAAAATATTGCATCCAAGTTTGTCTTACAGCTTACATTCTTAATTATGTTTTAAAATGATATATGATGATATCCACTGATTTTGAAATATTCACCTTGTTGGATGCACTTGTTAAGTATTGGACTCTTCTATATTTTTTCTGGTCAAAAGTAAAAAGTGACCTGTTTTAATATCATTGAATTAATATTTTAAAACATTTTACATAATTTTAAAAAACATATTTATGATTTTCAAAACATTCTTTCATCAACAAGCAGAGATGTTTTTTATGAAATAGTATATTATAATATTAGTGAAAAATTAAGAATTCTTGTTATTTGATTTATTTTAATACAAGTTTATTTTTATTAATTATTTTTATTCAAAACCAGTTACATCAACTTAAGTGGAAAAAGAAAGGTTTGAAGAAAATTGACAATACTCAAATTGGTAGTTTGACTTAAAACATACAGTTAACCATAAACTCCACCAATAAATGATTCATGTAATAGTTCTATAATGAAAGTTAGCTTTACACTAACACTATGATAAAAAGCAGGGGGGTCGAAACTTTTTAAAAAGTTTTTGTGAACATTTTTGTATAAAGTTTGTCTTTTATTTATTTAAATTCTTAAAAAAAAGTTATTTTAAACAAGAAGTAAACAGTGATTGGGTTTTGAGAGAATTACTTGATTGTACTGTGTCGTTCATTTGAGTAGCTAAGAATAAAAGTAATTTTTTTGTTCATCTTTATGGTGTGTATATATATATTATTATTTTTTTTTTTTCGATTGGCTCTATAGAACTTGTAGATCTTTGGCCGCCTGAACCAGCCTTCTCCACCTCTGCCTATCTTGGGCTACTGCTTTCCAATTTGTGGCATAAAGCTCAGCTGTATCTTTGTTTATCCTGTCAATCCATCTGGTTTTTGGCCTCCCACATGGTTTCTTACCAACTACTCTGGCATTCATTATTGTGTAAAGGCTTCCTGATGGATTGCTTTGAGTCGGATTGCATGCCCTGCCCATCTTAACCTCCTTGCCTTCATATCATGAGATATTGATTGACCCGTTTCTTTTAGCAGTTCTTTATTGTTCCTCCTCCTCCATGTGTTAAGGTTCTGATCCCATATAGGGTCCTGTTATCTTACGGAGAAATTTTCTTTCGAATCTCTCAATTCTGCCTTCTAGGGTGCCGGTTAGAGCCCAGATTTCACAGCAGTTCAGCAGAACTGGCCTTATCTCGGCGTTGTACACCCTTAGTTTGAGATTTCTGAAATTCAGTACCCTTGAAAGAGAGAAGGAAGCTCTGTTCGCACTTATTTGCTGGTCAAACTCCGTTAATTGATCATTTATTGAGGTTATTGTAGAGCCAAGGTATTTGAATCTATCTACTTTCGGGAATGACTTAAGAGTCCAAGCAGATCATGCTATTAGAGTGGATATTTCGGCTAACTATGATATATTTTGTTTTTTTCTTGAAGTACTTAATACTATCAATTTTAACTAATTATAGATTTGGTACCTGGCTGAACCTTCCAGGACTTTTGTTCTTTCTCCATTATGATTCATTTTATCTTGCCTATTTATAAGTCTACTTATTCTGTTATATTCTTGAAAATACATAGCAGAATAGGTTCATAAAAAAAAAAATTATAAATTGCAATTTAATTATTTTATTTAACAAAATTATGTTCACTTCAAATTATAATAAATACACAAACTATAAATAATTCACATAACTATGGCCTGTTAAAAATTCACTACTTTTCTATTGGTTGAATTTAATATACATTTGTAATATTGAATCAGGAGTATTGTGTGATTATGAGGTTGATTTTTTTATTATAGTCGCATTTCCTTTTCATTGGATGGTTAATCCTCCCGATCTAAATTGTAGTATTGCTTTCCTGTTTATCTTAAAAATATATCTATATTAGATCTTCCAAGTGATTCCTGGTTACTAGTATTCTTTACAGAACTTACAGAACATATCAATAGCTATTACTAGACAGACTCTGGGCTTCAGCTGTTATTTGGTGCATTTTTGTTAAACGCATACCAATTAATACACTGACATTTTAAATAAATAAATTATTTCAGAAGTTTAAATGAAACAAAGACAAATCAGTTCTGGTTTTTCATTGACCAATTGGATTTATTATATTGAGCTCCTTAATAAACATACAGTGTATATTTATTTTATTTCTATAAATAGGATCACATAGTAAACATTTGTTCAGGAATAAAAAAATAATTTAATCCCTCCATTTAAAACACATAGTAACCGAATTATTCTATTCTCATCATAAGACTTTTTAATTTTATTTTGATTTTAGCATTTTATTGATTTTACTATTACTATAAGCGACAGACTTGCTTAAACCAGCTGTTACAATACCTTTAATACTCTGAAGACAACTCGACTTGAAAACTATTCCTCTTAAGCATGCTGAAAGCATGTCACCTACTTCAGGATTCTTAGAAAGATCACGAAGTACATCTTCTGTATCTTTTCTTTTTCCGCCATGACTTCTCCAATACTTCACAAGAGCTTGCTGAGGAGTTTTTGGTAACTGAAATAAATGGTACATTCTTGATTCTGAACTCATATCTTGTGCACATATTTGATCAAAAGCTTCTCCTTCTGGCACTTCCACATAGTTACTGAGTTGAGTCAAAAGTGGGCGATATAAGTGTCTGAAATGTATTGCTTGATTATCTACGATATTATTAACTTTGTTTTTATTTTCTCCAACTACCATGCGAAAGTCACCCAAATAGGACAATGCAGTTATCGTCTTATAAAGTTGCAATTCCGAAAAACATCCTGGTAGAATTAATAGAGCTGCATGTAGCGCATTATATAGGTTTTGTAAAAGAGAAGATTTTAGTTCACCTGTGGCGACACCAATTTCTAGTACAGGTTTGTGAAGTCTACCAGCTAAGTAAATGTAATCCCAATCATATAGGTCATCGATCAAGTCTGCGCTTTTAACAACCCCATATTTCAACAATATACCCTCTTCACGTATAGGAACTAATGTGTTAAAATACACTTTGGCTGGCCAAAGTTCTTGAACTTTTGAAATAAAATTATGGCCAAGGTACTTAACAGATGAATAATGAGTTGGGTTCCATAGTACATTTTGTCCATGAAACCCAATTGGGTCATCAACAACAAAAATCATGTCAATCATGGGATTGGAACCGCAAGCTTCGCCTTGCCTGAAGACTCCTGACCCATAGGCAAAGCAATACCTGAAATACTCCTGAGGAAAAACTGATAAAACTCTCTTAAATAATGGTGGAACAGTCGGTACAAGAGCTTTAGTCGTAGTAGCCATTGCTTATTTATTGTTCATCATTTGTTAATATAGGGCAATGTTAATAGGTAAGAGAGAAAAATTATTAGACAGAAATAGTTAATTTACAATCATAACTTAGTTACTAAAAGAAAAGGCTGATCATGAACGAACCACAACAACTTTTGGTTTGTCCAAAGCACTACTAGTTATTCAACAATTCATTTCACTTTTAACTTGTTACAACATATCAGATAAAATGGAATGATGCTCTTTTAATTTACTTAAATTCGTATATGAATCGAATCCTGGTACGATATTGTTTTGCCCTTATTTCTTAGTCTACCCAAAGATTAAATTTCGAACGATTTAGATTAGTTATATGATATTGGAATAGTTTAAGAAACGGTAGGATGACACGTCCTTTATCCCCAGATGAAGTACCCTAGCCCTTAAAATCGGATTAAGAGTACCAGTTTAATGTCTCATATATTATGCTGAAGGTTAAACTTGGTTAGTTGTGAATTTTTTTATCAATATCCTGAACTTTCTAAATGTTCAAGCGTCACCTATCCATGATTACAATGAAATCAGGCTTTCAGCTGGGGTACACACTATGTAAAAAAGATGTTATATGTATATAAAAAAGATATGAGTTTTTTATGCCAAAAAAACATATTAATACCCATCAAAAAAATTTTAAATTATATACCTTGTTTTCTGTTACATAACAAGTTGCGTGCTAGTCGAAGAATATTGGCGATATTTACGAACCTAAAAAATACTTGAAAAATAAAACAAATTTCGATTGATGGAGAATTCCATCGAGTCCGCGGTACAGGCCCCTTTTTATAAAACTATTGACATCTGTCTGGAACTTCGTGAATGGCTTAATTTTGTCATAATATAGAGCTTTTTTAATTTACGAATATTTTCGGAAATGGGACCTCTTGTAATCTGCAGATCGGTAAGCTTTGTCTTTTTAATGAGATACTAAATATTCATGAACAGCCATTTTCTTCCACTTGAATTGTAAGATAATTTGACCACAAAATCCAGGAAAAATGTGGCCTAAAAAACATTAGGCAGTTTGCCGTGATCTCCACCTCCAACATAATGTTTGTTTAATGCTTGATTTGATAAAAAGCAATCTGAACCGCGAAATAATCTTTCTTAACTTAAATGATAGTATCAAGTTCTTTGAAATCCGCTTGGTTTTGACTGAAATAGTTTAAAAATCGTTATTTGGAGAATTATTTCATCAGGACAAAATTCTTCTGGATTCATTCTTCTTTTTACTTACTTTCCTTTTTTTTATGCTGGAGTGAACGTCAAATAGTTAAATCTGTTCTAAATCCGATACAGAGCTCATTAAGCGAACATATGGAACTAACGTAAAATAAGAGTCTTCCTGAAATTTCCGCGCTTAGCTACTATCCAATATGAGCTGTGCCATCCAGTTTTTTGTTTTTCTTCTAGTGCTTTCCTACCCTCCGATTATGCGTAGTGCCTAGAAGTTGAGAGATATGTCAAAGTTGCTATGGTCCCTAAGCAGGACCCACCAAGTTTCTCTTAGTAAGAATTTGATAGAAACTACAAAGAGAGATAGCAACAGACTAATATTACTTGGAGAGTAAATTTAAGAGGTGGTGCCTTTCATAATCAAAGGAAGCTTAACCATAACTATAAAGAACGATTTCTGTGTATTCAGAAAAGTAGTTTTCAATTAAAAAGTGTATAACTGACATTTTACATAACTGTTTTACAATTTTTACTTTCGTCTTCGGTAATTTTCTTTATAATTGAGGTTTATGAACAAAGATGGTCACCAAATTTATTAATGTAATGACGTCATTTTAGTGGCCAGCTCCAAAGTCTAACTTGAAAGGATTATTCTAGAAGTACAGCCAAACCCATTCTTAGATTTCAACCTGTCCAAACCTGACTTAGATTCAAACCTGCGACGCTAGACTCCAGAATGTTAAAGGGAGAAATGCCTCACTCAATATGCTCACCAAAAGAGCCTTAATGCTTTTTTATATTCCTTGTATGGGTCTCATGTTATTCACCCATTGTTTGGTCAATCTTATATTTTTGTTTTATTAACATGGCTCTTCACACATGTAATTAAATATATAAAATAAATATTAAATGTAATAAAATAAGTGGTTCTCAAGGGCATTTAGTGAATGACCCTTTAGCAGAGCTGGACAAATGCTATTCTGAGTACCAAGAATTGAATTACTACTCCAGTTGTCCGAAAAGATTAACTGAAGTAGTAAGTTATTCAATTCTCAATAGTGATTCAATTTGAGTAAATTACTTGGTGATCGGTATTCACCATAGCGTTCCCATTTCTGTCCTCTGGGAATAGGAACCGCATGGCCCAACCACTTCATTTGAGTGTAACTGTATGGGAACAGAACAAGTAATTCTTCTTTGTTGCATGAATTGCAAGGCATGTTGAACAAGAAAATAAAATAAGAATTCAAGAAATTGAACAATATGCAGTCTTGATGGGTATTCTTTTTGAGAAGTCTATTTGGTGAATTTTATTTAATGCGGTCTTTTATAATAATCTTTTAATGCAGTTTAACTTTTAGTGCGTTATTTGAAAAGGCTATCAGACAAATGTAAAAATACTTCTAGCTAAATTGTATAAATAGTATTTTATATTTCAAATTTAAAGCTGTTCCTGTATTAAACATTCAATTTTTATAAAAATTAAAAAAATCTCTTAAATTTTATGCAATATGGTAATTAGTATTTGTTAAAAACTCTCCATTTAAAGATTTAGTTCTTCAGTGATAAAATAAAAAATTAACAATGATCAAAAGTTCAAAGAAATTAATGGTTTCATCAGAGAAATTATCAATAATTTTGTTCATCTCTGAGTTATATAATTAAAACCTTTTTTTAAAAGAGATAAACAAAAAATAAATACATAAAAGAATCTATACTACAAACCATAAAGGGTCTTTGATTCCGTATTTGATAAGGATTTACTGTTTCTTATCTAACAAGGAAGCGAAGTTTAACAGCCAGATTTTTTGTTCCTCACCCCAATGAAGGATCAGGTACTCTTTTTAAAAACAGTTATGGATGCTGACTATTGATTCTAACCAGGGCTGATGAAACATAAAAACAATTTCCTGTCTACAACCAAAATCAATCCATTTACCCATCTAATCATGAGTTATAATCACTAATCTTTCCTGCCCCATATCTAATTAATAAGTCTGAAAACTATTTACTTCAGCATTACATTAACTAAAGTGAGAAGTAAGATAAAATAATCACAAAGGGAGTAAAACTAGCAATGTTACTGAAAATACACATAATATATAGAAGTAATAAATCTATATTTTTGAAATGAAATACATATCAACAAAATACATTAAGTTCACAGATAAAACTTCTACATAACAAACAATAAATATACATTTATATATACAATAAACTATTTAACTATATCATAACAACCAGACAATAGGCCATTTTTTTATTGTATCATTAAATAAAAGAAATATTTATTACATTATAGCCCAGATAAAAAGTATACTAACATTGTTGAGACATATTTCTTTGCAAATCTTAAAATAAATGATCAATAAATCAATACATAATTAGTTTGAAATATTCTTTTTTGAATAATACAAAGTGAATTACTGTTTTGTATGCAAACAAACTTTAATGATCTATTTTAAATTGTATGTTAATGTAACTTGTGATATAAATATGTTGAGATTGATCTTCGTTAAATAGAAAAATTTGGCCAATATTGAACTAATTAACTTTTTAGGAATTATAGTTATTTTGAAGTGTATTACTAAATCAATTTAAAAAATAAATCACAGAATAAAGAACAGCTAACATCACATAACTAAATTTTAAAGTCATTTAATAATAATTATTCATATCTACACACTTCTAATGGTTAAATTATTAATAAGAGATATATGTGATAAATGTAATTAAAAAAAATAAAATGCAAGCATGATGTTTATTACTTCTTTAATAAACGCATAAGTGCAGATTTTAATATAATATTAATTGTACATTAAAGTTTCTAATAACAATGGAATACTACCTCGGGGAGTAGTATGACAAATTACCTTTTACAAATTATGCCAAATTAATGACTAATCATTAACAAATTAAGAAGTTCATAAAATAATAAGAATTATGTTTTTAAATTACATTGATCATTAATTCTACACTAGAAAAAACATACCCCTGAAGAATTCTTTTCTAATTAATAATCTAGACTAGCTATCAGTTATATTCTATCAGTTACTATTCTATAATTTAGCCAGGCCGTTAACGATAAAACATTTATTCATTTATTTTTTTATATAAAAAGATTATATATAATTCAACTGTCCAGAAACAGCATTTAATAATAATTATTTTATTAGAAATCCTTATAAAATAATTGAAGTAAATAATTGATTAGTTATAAATTATTTGGATGGTATGCAATAATTATATGAAATAGTTTTTGAAAGGGTGTTTAATTAATAAATTAAATAATAGTGGTATGTTGAATCTTGACTGTTGGTTTTGTGAACCCACTTGATAAGGGCAATCATTCAGAAATTCATAAAAAAATATAGTTGAATTTCTATGTAACTATTAAGACAACTTATGTCTCTATACTTTGAAAACTCAAGAGTGAGGATTCAAACAAATGTTTGGAGAATCTTTATTTCAACTAAATATTTATCCAAGAAATTCAGGTAATTAAGCCTAATTTATAATAACCTATATTAATATCTATTACCTGATTTTTTTATTTTTTTTTTTATGATGCCATCTCAAATGGTGATGCTTAAAATGATGATTACAAATTTCTAAAAATAAATAAAGTCTTTCCCATTTGCATTTGTCTTATGTTTTTTTTTGCTTGTAAAATACAGAGTATTTTGAAAATAATTACATTTAAAAACACTAAGTAATCTAATTGCTGTACGAAAATACATTCATGTTTATTGTTGCTATTAGGAATTGACTTCATTCAAGCCTTTTTTTTTTTTTTATGTGGAATAAAAATATTGTCTCTAAAACTGGAAATGTTAAAACACAAACCTAAATATTTCCCTCAAACTTGTTAATTTGGAATTTGAGAAATTGAGACTAAATAACTGAACGGTAATATTTTTAATTACAGATGTAATAAAGATTAAAAAAAAGATTTAATTTTTATTATTTTAATTTTGAGAATGATATTATATTTAATTCAAGTTTACGAAAAATTAAATATTTAACAGTTTTAAACAAAAAATGATTTCAGCGACAAGATTTTTAATTTCTGCGAACAAACATGATAGTTAAGTTACATAAAATTGTTTTTGTATAGATGCTAAGAATTTAAAATAATAAAAATAAAGGAATGAATTATAATGAATATAATAATGATGTTTGTTTTTTATTTTAAAAAACACATCAATTTTATACTTATTTATCCATAAAAAACTGGTTTATTATCATTAAGACTATTATTTATGAGTAAAATTAATTAATGCTAGAAAAGAACATAAAAATTCAATTTTATATGGCTAAACATGAATTCATTTACTGTTAAAATTATAAAAAATTATGGAAATGTATAATATTCTAAACCGATGAACTTGAATTACTTTTAAAGTTATTTCCTAATAGACATTAAAAGCTCTTCTAAATTTTATTCTACAGTACTTAAATGGAGTAGTTTAAGAAACATAATAATTGTAGTTAGTAATTAAAGTATTAAATAAATAAAATAAATTACTGTGATTATCAACTTCAAGGAGATATAATAAAAAGAATAATAAAAATATTTTGGGAAATTATCTTTCTGTTATTATTAGAAATCTTTCATTAATAAGAATTGTCACTTTTTATTTTCTCTAGGACATATTTTAAACAGTTAAATGAAAAAGAAGTAGAATTATTGACAGGATTAAAATAATAAACATCATTCAACTATTATATCATCTCTTAAATTATTAAACGTTTGTTCGATTGGTAATAATGTATACCATCAAGATGGTTACGTTTTAGATAATTAATAATAATAAAAAAGTATAATAAAACGCGAAAGGAATAATCTAAATAAATATGTACTTATTAACTAAAACTATAATAATAAAAGTTAGTTATTTCATAAAATAATAAATCATACAAGTACATTTTAAAATTTAAAACATAAAATACCACTTTACATACTAAATTTAAACATGGAATATAAAGATTAATAAAATATCACAGGCCAGAATACTGAGGGCTGTTAGTAACGGAGCGAGGGTAAGAAATTCGAGCTCGTCTTTCCGTTGGTGAATCATTTGGTTCTCTATAAAAATAAATAAATAAATATTCATTATATCATTCAAGAAAATTATAAAGTTTGAAAATATATAAAATTTAAAATGTTAATAATAAAAACACTTTACATAAAATTAGATATAAATATGAAATGTGATTTCCAAAAATATTCCTAAAAAATAAATTAGATGATAATTATCCCCTCTTGTTTAATAAAAAGAAGAACTTATTTGTATTTGCTATTATATAAACATAGTATATTATCTTCATAACACCGCTTGTTGTAATACGGATTCAGATATGACCTATGTAGTTAATTTGATTGTTCTTATTATTTGAGAAAACTCATCAACAGCATTATATTTTTTTTCTTCATTTATTTTCACACATTTAAGATTAAAAAAAAAAAAAATAAAGGAATGAAAGTGGATAAGTGATCCTATTAATAAAAGTTAAACTATCATCTGTAGGTAGGTTAACACTTGGCCAAAATAATTAAACTATCTTAATAAAATAACTGGATAAGCATAGAGGAGTATATAACTTAGAGATGCGCTATCTTAAAGCACAGAGCATATTCATAATACAAAGTAGTAAGAAATACTCATATCACAGGAGAACAAAGCTTTGGATTGTCACAATCATCAACTTATTTTCCTTTTAATTATTAACAATTTTTTTCAATCCAAAGAACTGATTTTTCTTGGGCCAAGTTAGCAATTTTAAAAATTCTTAATTTTTTAAAATAGTTTTTTCGTGTCGACTTATTGGAGAATAGTTTCCCCATCTTCAGAACTGACAACATGATTCTTATTCTTTAATGAAGTTTTTAATTATTTGATGATGAGGTTATTTAATTTGTCATACACTACTCTCCGAGATAGAATTTCATTATTATAATTTTTTTTTTTTTATTTATTACTGATATGGTTCTGAAGTTTATTATGGAAGGATTGGTATCTGGATTGGGCCAAATCGGAAACATAAGGAACATTAAGGTCATTATGGATTATTTTATTGGTGACAAAGTAAGGAGCTTAGAGGATTTTCCGAAGGATTTTGAATTGTAAGGATTGGATACGAGAGGAATTCGATGGCTTAGTGGAGCCCCAAAGCTGAACTCCGTAAGTCCAAATAGGTCTTATTGTAGTCATGTATATAAGTCTTTTGTAATTAACTGGAATCTTAGAGCCTTTGTCTAGTAAGTGTTGGAGTAGTCGGAAACGTCGAGCGGTTTCTTTTTGTTTCAGTCTGGTATGAGGATTCCAAGATAGACGTTTGTCCAAGTGAAGTCCAAGATATCGGATTGGTTCAACGGGAATAAGTGAGGTATTATTAAAGGATACTGTGGGACATGATGTCATAGGTTTACGTCGAAGGGTAAAGGTGATTTGATGGGATTTATAAACTTAAATACACAATTAATATTATATTAAAGTACAAATATAAAATATTCCACTCATGTTTACATCTTCTGTTTTAATAAATTACAAATTATCCATTATAAACTTTGTTTTTAACTTTCATTATCAGGAGAAAATTGCCAACTTAACCTATTAAAAAATTAGCACTTCTCGGATCCAAATGATTTTTCTATCTTTTATATATACATACATATATATATATATATATATATATATATATATATATATATATATATATATATATATATAAACATTACATGCTTGTACATTTAAATGTTGATCAAAATTTCAATATATTGTTGTTTAGTTTCTAATTTTTTTTTTTTTATTTAAGCCAACTTATACCAATGTTTCGCTTCGAAATCCTACTACGGTGTTTCGGCTCGTCGACTCATTATCAAGCCTATCATGTACTTTTCCATTATACTTCTTTTGTGAAATACATGAATCTTCTCATAATAACCACTCATCATGTCTATTCTTAACATATTACGTGTCAACCCACATGTTGTCACTTTCGTTGCTATTGAGTGACTGAAAGCTGACAACATGTAGGTTGATGACACATAATATGTTAAAAATGGACATGACAATACTGGTTATTATGGGAAGACACATGTATTTCACATAAGAAGTATAATGAACGAGCACAGGCGGATCTACAGGGGGGGGGGCTTTCGGGCTGGAGCCCTCCCCTCCCCACCAAAATGGTAAAATATAACCATGTTTTACAGGAAAAAATATTAAAAACTATCGCTTAAAGTATTCTTGTTCGTGTAATTACATTTAATAAGACTTTAAGAACCACTTAAACATCGTTTCATATAGGTAGTTAATTTCTTTCTTTTTTTTTCAAGTTAATTATCGTTATATGTATACGACCAAAAAAAATCTTTCGGGCTGAAGCCCCCCCAAAATTAAATTCTGGATTCGCTAGTAGTGTGGACAAGTACATGATAGACTTGAAAATGGCTTGACGAGCGGAAACGTCGTAGTAGGATTTTGATGTGAAACATTAGTGTAAGTTGGCTTAAATAAAGAAAATTAGAAACTAAATATTATACACCAAAATAGAAGAAAAGATAATTAAGAATATTGTTGTTTATTTATTTAAAGAATCTTCAAGTTCAATCTATAGAATTTTTATCATAAACATTAATTATGTTGTATAAACTAATTATTTTATTAAAGTAAATTGTTTGTAAATTTATTTGCAAACCTTAGGAACTAAAACGTATATGATTTTAATTTTACAATTCAAAAATAATTTTTTTTTAAAAAATCACAAAAATAAAAATCTTTTTACTTTTAAAATAAATTAAAATGCATAAATAAAATAGTATAAAGTCAAGAAAAATATATTTGTTTGAACGAACCCAAAGAGTGGTACAACTGATGTTAAAACAGATTTGTTAGGAATACTTGTCAGCTGAGGATTATTAGCTATAATGTGGTTCAAGAACCTCCTCAAATATTGCTGCAGCTTCACTCTCCTTTCCTCGACAAACTTAGTATCCTAGTCACCAGGAAACATCAAATTATAAAGGGATAATTTAAGCAATAATAAATTTACATTGCATAATTTACTAATAATAGTTTTTGTTAATAATAGTTTTTGCAATGTTTTCCTTATTGATAAGAGATCAAAGATATTCAAAATGATATCATTGAGTATTAGTTTTCAAAATTTATCAAGTTCAAAAATTTCAAAAATAATCAAGTTCAGATCCTGATTTTAAAAAAAAAGTATAAATCCTTTAAATATTCATGTTAATGACCAAAAAGAAAGAAAATTACATAATGCTATTCAAACCATTAAAATTAAATAGATAATAAATTAATTTTTTACTTTCACTTAATTATATATATAATATAGTAAGGGTAAGTATTGCAATCGTGAAAATTTTCGAATCTCAGATTTCAACGGAAATACATGTTTTGAGATCCCCTGAGTCCAAATAACCAAGTTTGACAAAATGGTCTGTGTGTGTGTGTTAACAATCTAGCTCATAAACGAAAAGTAGTACGGAACTGATATTAAGTATTTAAGGTTTGTATACAGGCCGGATGTGACAGCAACTTTTTTGTTAAAATCGGCCAAACGGAAGTGTCACTTTATATGAACACTGAAACACATTTTTACAATTTTCTCAAAAACGGCTCTAACGATTTTGATTAAACTCGGTGTATCATTGTATAATTAAGTGGTCTTTAATATCATTTAGGTCTTATCCCCATTGATGTCACCTTACAGGACTTAAATGCCCAATGTTCATATATGTCTTCTTCTAAAGTACATTTAATATGGTTTATTTTAAAAAGTTTATAATAAGTAATAAAGGAGAAAAAAAATAAAAATGCTGAAAAACCTGCATTGCTATAGACTGCAGCACCAAAACGAATGTACCGATTTCAATGAAACTTCGCTAAAGTCATTTTCTTGACATTTAATAAAGTATCTTTCCTAAGAACATCTTTCATAAGAAATAAGTACCTAAATTTATACTTTTTTCTCAGTTCTATATTTCAATACTGCAATCACCACCTCCGGAATCAACTTGCTCACTGTCTGCATAGATAACTCTTTCAACTAAAAATATCACTAAAATGACATTACTCAAAAATGTTGAAATTGGAGTTAGTCATTCTGTGGTTTATAAAAGCAAAGAAAATTGTGTGGTTTATAAAAGCAGATGGAGTGACTAGATTTTTATTGCCTACCTATAACCGTGCCTACTGAACCGTTAATATATTAAATAGATATTTTGTAATTATAATGGTCTTAATGACTTATTATTGGTAAGCTTTAAGCTTTAGCTCTGTTTAAAATGCACTTCAAAAAATTTTATAATAGTCCAGCATTGCCAGAAAATAATTTCTATTCAAAGTAGAGCGGTAATTGAAAGTTGTGTGTTGCCAGATTTTTTAAAATTCTAATATAAATTTTATTGCTTACCCTATTGCCAATAGTCTTCTTCGGTGGAAATTTGAAAGCAGATATTATTGGATACTGTTTTTTAAAATCTTTATGTAAAGTCAAAAACTGAGAATATCTTCGATATACATTCCATTCTTCTTCACCAACCCTGATATGAACCTGCAAACATTATTTTAACTTAAATATTAATTACTTTACCTTGAAGTTGACCTCTAATTGAACTCTAATTTGAAACAGTTTTGTTTATTGACTAGTGTTGTATACAAACAAGCTTTTTAATTATACAGGATTACATTATGTAAGATATGGATTATTACCAATCGTAAGAAGATATACTTAACAATAAGAGAATAAAACCAGAAACTAATGATGAAGCAAAAAGAATAAACATAATAATTATGGAAATTCCTAAGTATTTTCTTATGGAAATAGATGTACATTGCAAAAGATGGATTGTTTAATTTTGCAACGAAAATTATAAGACTGCGAACATCAGTTTGATCAGTAAAACATATAACGAAAAAAAAAAAATAATAACAACAAACACTAGTATTTTGTCACTGAAGAAATACTAGTGTATAATAACACTAAATCTCTCAATTTTTAATGAAATTTGGTGATGTTTAAAATTTTAAAATATGAAAAAGTCTGTCTTGTTGTTATCTTGTAAGGAGTATTCCTTGCATCTCGACTCTATGATAAAAAACATGCAATTTGAAGTGTTGTTCTCCACTCTTCCTCATGCCATCTTATTTCAATGTTAGGCAATAGGCTATATTTTAAATTTGAACTAAAAAATCATAATAATTTATGGTGGTAATAGATCCCTTTTCCAGATATCGGGAGCAATGGATTTTGATAAATGAAGTAGTAGATAAAAGGGAATCTCATGGAGAAATGATGAATGCCAATTTCAAAACTTCAAACATTACAACAACCAACTACAATATAAGTCATCAGAAAAATTGGAAGGTTTCAAAAGTTGACAAATTGAGATGGGACGAGTTGTAGAGATTTCGATGAGGACATCAAAATCGTAGGAAACCATACTGTGTTTTAAAACGTAATGTGAACCATTTTCGAGATAAACCATAATTCTTGAGGGAAGCCTTAGGTGTTTTTGTTCAAGCCTTAGGTGTTCAAACCTGCACCAAATCCCAAGATTGAGCCACCAATTTTTAAAGTTTCCTTCTCCTTCAGGCAGATGAAATAGTCCAATCACCCCGAAAATTCAGGCAAAAAAGTTATAAAAGAAAAGAAACTTTATTTGCGAATGACTCAAAACTTATACACTTTTCCCTTGGTTATGCCAATGATTATATAAAAGATTACTAAAGTCCCTACAAAAGGAAAAAAAAATCTTCGAAATCGGACTATTTTAAGCAAAGATACAGCAGCTATTTGAAATTTGTAAACATGTTGGTTCCAAACATTAATGAAGTTTTAAATTAATTTTTGTTTCCTTTGTCAATTATATTTAGCGAGGAAGTAACAATTGATTTCTTTTATGATATGTTGTATTACTTTATTTTCTTAATTATTTATTGTTTGATCACTGTTATTGTTCAGTTATAAGCTGTGCGAATTTTCGCATGGGCCTACTAGATTAGTATATATTTAATAGACAAATACAGATATATACAATCTTACTAATGTGTTTTTTGAAAAGTTAAGATTTGTCATGTATCTTCAACAGAGACGATAAGACTAAATTATTATTTATTAAATATATTAAATCTACTTATATAATTTTGGTTTTATGAATCCATACTTGATAAACATGGTGCTGCTTGGGAGACCCAGTTAAAAAAACAGATGGAACCCAAAGACTAATCAGCTGCGAACTGACATCTATCTCCGAAGGTCCAAGAGGTCCCCTCAAGGCTTCGAGCTCCAGGTACAGTTTCTTAATCGTCGTTTCTTTATTTATAATATTCCTCTGCAGTCTTTCATTCAATTCCATTAGTTCACTATGCATTTCAGCAACCTATAATAAATAAATTATTTATTATCAGTTGTATATCATTAATATGTAAATAAAGCATGAAAATTAACATTAACTAATCTTTAAAATAAGTATGAACCAATATAAGGACCTGAACAAGTTTCTGCTGATAAAGTTCATCACCTTCGAAGTCATCACCACCTTGTTTTAGCAATTGGACGGCATTAACATATTTCCTTAGCTGATGTTTCAGTACTTCATTTTCCCTTTAGAAAGAATATAATACAGTCCATTAAAGTTTTCATAATAAAATATTTAAATGAAGAATTTTGTGTACATACATAATATCCCTAATGCTTATGCTAAAATAAAGCCCAATATAAGTAGTGGAAAACTTTAAGAGTAACAAAAAGATGATTCTTTTACAAAATTATAATAATATAATAAATTAAGTTTTAATCTGCAATGGACAATTGTTAAAACCATAATAGTAACAAAGAAAGGGCTTACGATTAAAAAAAAAAGAAATAATGGGTTTAATTCATAATATGAGAAGATACATAGACAACTTATTTTTAAAAATCATGCTAATTAATCAGTTTTGAGGAAATGTTACAACGAACTCAAGCGGACCAGAAATTCATTAGTTAGTTTAATGAAGTTCCTAATATCTGAAAAATAAATAGATAATCGTGTAGATTTTCTTTCTCTTTTTATTTACTTTTTTAAAATTTAATTTAATTTTTTTAGGAATACAGTCATAAATTTCATTAATAAAAAAAATTATATTTTTAATAATTGTATGAAACTTTATTAACTAAAACCTTCACGTATAAATTATATTATGGACAATAATGTTGACTTGCATACTTCTTCTTTGATCTTCTTTTCTATTTTTTTTTTTTTGTTAACATGCCCGATTCCTAGTAATTTAATTATCGAGGGATATCGGATTAATTTTTTTTTCGGTTTACTTCAACAAGCAGTTTGTTACATCCTAGTTCATAGTAAACAAGGTCTACTGTATTACGTGCTTTTTTAAATGAAATATGTGTCAGCTTTCTTTTATGAAATTTAAAATAAATAAATAAAATAAGTATAAAATATAACCTTTCCTCTCAAAATAAAATAAAATGATATTCACTGATAAAAAATACACATTTAGATAACTGAACTAAACATACATGATAAAATGGAGGTATGTGATTGCAATTGCAATAGTAAAATGGTAGGGTTCTCAACGTAAACCTAAACCAGATATTACTTATAAAAAATTTTGAATGACTGTTAGTAAAAAGTTTGAATAGGTATTGAATGACAAATTTGAGAATAAGTCAGTAATTCTAGTATAAGGATAAGTAGAATTTCTAAAAATATATTTATACATTTATAATTTTTTGTTTCTAGTACTTTATATAAAGATGGATTGTGAAATTAAGCGAGTAAGACCTCACAAATAATACTTTCTGAAAAGTTCTCACCTATTTAATTCATTTATTTTGATTTCTAATTGCTGAATTTTTTGCTGGTGTTGCTGCGCATTTTGGACTAATTGATTACTGAGAGTTGAATTGAACTCTTTATACTTCTGAATCTGAATGAGTAGTTGATCAGTAGATTTTGAAAAATCTTCTTCATTTTGTCCACCTGAAAATAAGTAAATAATAATATGAGATATGATAATTTGGAATATAAGCCAATGGATTTAAAATGTGACACAACATACAACGTTCAGTTATATAAAAAAAAAAATGATGCAGTGTATCAGATTACTTTCACTAGCACCTAATTTTCAGTAGGGATTAATTTGTTAAAAATCTTATTTTAATTAAAAATACCAATTTACAACAATTAATATAAAGTACGACAATTCTATGCATTATATATTTTTGGTATGTCGAGCTGAAAATAAATTTTAATCTTTTCCATTAGAATTTTATTTGAGTATCAATGAAAACATTTCTTTCCCATTCAATACTAATAATACAATTAGACATAACTATAACAGTTACAAGCCATAAGTATTTTGTCACTCTCTGTCACCTTCCAATAAGTCAATTTTAACAAAAACCTATCTTAAATACATAATTTCAGTCTTCAATTGAGTACTTTAAATTGTAAGCAATTATATCAAAAATTCCAACTAAATGTTGCATGTAAAGACATTTTTAATGTGTTTTGTTTTAGAGATTTGGATTGTGTACAAGAAGCAAGCATAATTCAACAAGTACATAAATATATAATAAATCCATTTCGTTTTTTTTTAATAATATGTTAAATATAGATTGAATTAAAACAAAATCAAATTATAGAATTATAATTTTTTTTTAACTTTAACACTTTATATAATACTGAGTTCACATAAAAATTTATGATAAAATAAAGATATTTAAAACTTTTAATATACTCGCTATACGAAAAATTTGTTAGATATGTCATATTAATAGATTGATGCATTAAAATTTAAATAGAATTTTCTGAAAGAAATTTAATAAACATAGCATCAATTTAACATCATACTTACTTAAGTCATTTAAAAAATCAATGTTGTTAGAAGTACTCAATGTTTGTTCATTTTCCTGCAATTCATATTGTATAAGTTAATAAATCTATTAGAACTATTAAAAAGATATTTATAATTATAACAGTCCCATGAAAAAATATTTTAAATGATTTAATAGATTAATGAAATCTTACTTCAGAGAAACTTGGCACGGATATTGAATCTTCAGAAGAATGTGTTTCTTCCGCTACGGGCACGATGGTTAGCTCACCAATGTTTGAATTATTTACAGGCATTAATCCTGAACTGAAATTTACACGAAATTCTATTGTAAATACATTACAAATGTCACATGATACCTTTAAAAAAATAATACTATACAAATATTTAAATTATAAAACCAATTAACTATTTAAATCACAGATTAAAAAAAAAAAATCAAGAAAATTTAAAAAGGCAAATAATTTAGTAGTAGTCAATTTTATATAAGTCATTCAACTAATATTTCAATAGACTATCCACATTTATAAGTATAAAATATGAATGTATTCCATCTGCTAATGTTAATCATTTCAATTGTTTTAAAGAGTGTGTACTTTTCGCAATTTTTTTTAAAGATTTAACATCATACATATCAATAACATTAAAATTGTTACTTGCTGTTGAGATAATTCTCAGTATCAGGATACTGAGAATTATTTTCTTCTTCTTGTTTCATATCGCTATCACTCTGAGAAGAATCGCCATCACCACACGTAGCCTCTACTGCACATTCTATTTCACCAAGAATGTCGCCTTCATCCTACAAAAATTAATATACATATGTAACCAAGATTAGCAGCATTTCTGAAGAATCAACCAGAGAAGCATAAAAAATAACATAAAATTCTTCTTTTTTTTTTTTGGACCAATTAATTATGAGATTGATTTGCATGTGCAATTGTGTGTAGGACAATTGTTTTTGTCAAGTTAAGATGTGGCCTGCCAAATAGAATTGTATATAGTTAATAGAATAAGTATTTTTTTTTTTTTTTTTTTTGTTATTTTCATCTTTATTGTCTTTAAATTTATCTTAATATTGTATATAGTCATGTTTAAATTTTCTCTTTAACCCCTTGCTTTATTTTTTTTTTTTTGGTAATATATATATTATTAATTCTGTAAATAGATGGCTAACTTGAAATAACCTTTTTTTGCTAATTTACTAGTCCAACCTAACTCTTTCACATAAGCTAGTAGCATGGTAGCATGAATGTTATGGACAAAGATTAATAAATGGTTAAGTAATTATATATAGTTTCTATATTTGTCTCTTTGGAAATTAAAGGCGAAAATAGCCAGGTGCCCAACAAGTTAAATTCCAATAGAAAATTATTATTTAAAAAAAATTACCTTTTTATTTATCTAGATATATGATCTTGAAGTAGACATATGAATTTAAAGATAAATATATACAAGTGAGTTCACGTATTTGTACAAAGATGCAATATGGCAGATACAATGATATCTGCAAGATATCAGTAAGATGTAGCTGACATCTCAAAAGTAAAAATTAACTTTATTTTTACATATAATCAGAAGATTGATTATAAGTAAAAATTAACTTTATTTTTACATATAATCAGAAGATTGATTACTGAGGAGATAGAAAAATAAATGGTGTTTAAATGAAGTCAAGAATGAGGATTTCCCGATAGAGGTTGTTGGTAGGGAATTCCAAAACGAGGTAGAACGTATGACGAAGGAATTTTTAAAGGAAACAGTTCTATGAGATAGAATAAACAGATTTGAGGGTAAGGATCTCGTGTTGAACAATGAACAGAGGAATAAGGAGTAAAGAAATCAAGAAGGTTTTTTGGTTGTAAAGATTCGGAAAAGGAATACACCTAAAAAATATTGCCATCGGAAAACTGGAAAGAATCACTTTCTAATTATAATATATAATAATGTACTCTGTTTTTTTGTTATTACCAGCTATTATATTATTATATATTTTATTAGATGTATGTTTTAGCTCAAGGATTCCCAATCTTATACTTCACAATGCTTCCAGAAAAAAATTGAGTACATTGAGACATTTTGGAACATTAGAATAGCATTACACTCAAGTCCTGTGATTTGGATAAAAAGGAACTGTGGAGGGTGCTCATGTGAATATCAGAATTGAATTTGGACAGATAAAAAATTTAAAAAAAGAAAAGAAAGGTAAAAATTTAAATTATTTGTAAAGAATTATATTAAATGAAGTAATTTTAGTAATTTTTTTCTGGGAAAATTAATTAAAGTCATTAATTTAGTATTTCTAGGAAAATTAATTAAAGTCATAAATTTAGTATTTTATATATTTTAAATTTTTAATATTAAAACAGATATATTTTAAACTATATTGAACAGTAAACATACTTTTTAAAAAATAGATAGTGCTCGTAAAATTAAAATATTTTAGAATATGCTTTAGTCTAATGAAAAATAGGGAAGTTGCTTTAGTCAACATCCTATTTTCAACAGCTTCACAATGAAAGCAATGTTTTTCTTTAAAAAAAAGTAAATAAATAAAAAATAGTCTTTTTTTCAGATAAACTTCAAAGCATGTTTTGCCCATCCTTAGGTCAAGACTTAATGATAGATCAAATTTAAGTATTTGGTATTTTTTTATATACTTCTGTTATAACAAGCAATTAAAGGAAAGGGATTAACAATCGCCACAACTTATAATCAGTAAATCTTGACTTGTACTCTTAATCATTTTAAAAGACATTAAGTTGTTGATGTCATCCATCACACTCCATTATTTTAGATAAGGCATTTAAAAACAACCACTCTCATGTTGCTGACTTGGTTTCCTACTTCCCCTCCCCTTCTCGTCCCTAATTGATAACTCTCTTTTCAAGACACTAAACACTATCAAGGAGGAAAGTGATGATAATTAAAGTAAGTGGAAAGCGACAGCATATCTTTTATTTAATTAAAAAAAATAGTGATGTTTTTAAAAACGAGTAAACAATATTTGCAAATCACTGAAACAATGAAAAATTACTGATTGTTTTTATTTAACCCAATACAATTTATTTGAAATATGAGATGACTTAACTACTCGGAAGAACATTGCCTCATAAATGCATATGATACCTTAAAAATCTGTAAAAAAAAAATGAGTCATGATCATGCATTCAAATTAATTTATATATATGATTTAAAAAATTAAGAATCGAGCATACTTGTTGAGTTAAATTAGTTGGAGAAGGAAGGAATGTTTCTATTGGTTCTTCTTTCTTTACTGTACTTTCAGAAATTTCTTCATCTCCAAATGAAATAATTTTCAAATTTGCCTTCTTATGTTTCTTACTATCAGATTTTCTTTTAGCTATAAATAAACAAAAATAAAGTTATTAAAATGGATATAAATGCTTCACTTTGCTTGATAAATAAATTTATATGTACTTACTAGATTCAGGTTGCGTTTCCTGAATAATGGGTTCAATCACGAGAGATGTATTACCTAAGTTTGAGTCATTCGGGGCTTGATTCAGCTCTGGTCGATCAATACTAAGAGCGAATAAAATTGATGACAAGCCTAAATAGAAAAAAAAAAAAGCAGAAAGATAAGATAGATATTTATAAACTTTGATATTCTAATTTTTAATAAAAACGGCCCCATACATTCAAAACCAACGGAATAAAAAAATTATAATTATAATGAAAGAAAAATTTAAATAGGTGAACTGAAGAACATAAGGCATTTTAGACAACATACTAAACTACACTATACTAATTTCAAACTGCCAAAAATCAAAAACAATGTCAAATAAAAAGCAGTAGGTTACTCAATAATGCCATTCAAAGATGTAGTAGTTTTGCTTTCTTTAGTTTGCATTGCAATGCGATATAAGAATGTAAGGAATAATTGTCATAAAATATCTTATCATAGATATAGTTAAGGGATAGATTGGTAATCTTGAGTGGTCAAATAAATTGATTTGATAATTAATTCAGTAAGAGAGGTAAAACAAGTTCCTCAAGCTAAGATTATTCGCTCTAGGAAATCTAATCAATTCAGCATTATTTTAATGACAGTATGAATCATAAGGGCAGAGTGTGGGGGTGTAGAATCAAAACAAATAATTATAACCATGGCAACAAGGTGAGAAGGAAACAAGACACATTATTAAGCACAGACGATTCTTCATTTTTTATAAATAAAGTTTAAATAAATTGACCTTAAAAAAAGTAGAATATATACAAGTGAAATCACAAGTATTTCAGTGAAAATTTTTTTCTAAAATCAGTATTGTTAATAATTGAGCCTGTTAGAAAAAAAAATACAAAACAAGCAACAAAAGAGCAGTCATAGGCAAACAAAGAATAGTTTTAATTTACTAGATTAATTAGGTTTTAATCTTTAGCAGAGACTGATCATAATACCAGCATAAAAATCAATATTTTTTTTCTTGGATTATCTTTTTTTTTTAATGTACGATTATGTATAATTATTTAAATATTTTTAAATTACAGAATTAATTTTCTTTGTATTTGTTTTTTATGGTTTACACTTTTTTCCTACCTATTAGAGGAATTTTATTATTTTTTTAAAGAATATTTTTTACTATTTTTCATTTACTGTAAATATTTTTTATGTTTAATGTTTTTTTGTGAAAAATAATCTTTAATTTTTGGTTCACAGCAGTGGACATTATCCCAGAATAAAGTTTATTTCTATTCTATTCTGTGCTGCCATACAAAGGTAGTAAGATCAACTTTTACAATGAAAAGAAATATATTTATGCTTTTAATTCACAAAAAATTAATATAATTTTCAATCTAACGTTTTTTGAACGAATTAATATTGATCCAATTTATGATGTTACAAGGAAAAAAATAATAAAATATAAATGCATTTTACCTGCAGCCATATTTGGCAAAATATTACTAGATTCTTGATTTAGGAGAAATGACCAATCTTCATAAAAGGTACTAAGGTTCGTACTGTTTATAAGAGCAGACATATATCTTTCAAGAGAACGTTCATTAATTGCTGATCGAAGCCAAGCCCTTGCACGACCACGGTCCGTCCATATTTGCCTCAGCAATTCATATCTTTCACGCTCATGATTTGTTAACAGATGTTGGATACAATCCCAAAGAGTATACTGCTCTGCATTACCCAAAACCAAATCAGTTACTTGCCTGTAAAATCAAAATATATTAGTAGTAAGAAGAAAACTGTTCAGAGTTTGTGGAAAACAAAATAAATTGTCACACACCTTATTGTTGAAGATTTTTTTTCTAGACTTCTGTACTTCAACCCATGGCATAACACATGTTCTAAGACAGTACACAACGTTTTGACATGAAAATCTAATTCAGTTGCCAATAAACTTCTACCTCCAAATTTCGTTTGACAGCTTTTCACAGCTACGAGCAGCAATGATTGTAACTGTTGTCGTTCTGAAGCCTTCAGATCGTTTTTGTTGACTTCAGGTTCCATTTGATTAAGGAATAATGACTTTTTACTTCCAAAGAAAAGTAAAAATTTTCATATGATAAGGGGTTATACATTATTACAATAAGTTATGCTTTTTAAACCTCGAAGGGCATGCTCTGGCATACTTTCTGACCATCATATTACACTAATATGACAACATTAATTTGTTAAGAAAGAAACAATTTAAAAATACATAATTTGAATGACGTAACCTTCCTTCCATGATCCAAACAAATACACTGATAGGGACTTCCAAGTTTACTACACAGAGCGCAGCAAATTCCCTGTGCAGTTTCGTCACAAGCAAGTGTAGCAATTCTAGGAAGTTAAAAAGCCTATAGCTATTAGTTTTAAATCAATTTTAAGCCATAAAGCACAATATGTATTCAACATAATGTTGGGTAAATACATTTCTAAAACATATATATATTTTACGTGTTATGTATAAATATTTAACTTTGGATATTATATTGAAGTTGAAATGAAAATTATAAATCGATCATTGTTTCCTGGTTGGATATAAGCGACCCTCACACCAAGGTTCAATCAGGTTAATTGATGGAAACTGGATCAATTTTATTTTATTTCTAAATAATCAAATATATTTTAGAGGTGTCGAATTTGATTGTAGTTGATTAACTAAATTAAAGATAAACTATCTTCGTGTTATTCGCAGATGATAAAATAAAAATAAATTGTATGAATCAAGGACATAGTCTGCTCGAAAAAGTCTAATTTAATTTCTTACAAGTAAGTGTCCTTTTCTCATAATAAATTTCTTTCAAAATGTTGAAACAATTTTCAGAAATTAGTTGTTCATATCTGTTGCTATTTTATTTTTTATTTTTCTCTGTTGAAAGGGAAAGCTGCTTTCCCTTGCACAGTAACAATTTAATAAATACCCGTAAAGGTTCGTTTAGACATTTCACAAACAATGAAAACTGATACTATCTATATTCTTGTCTTTTCTTAGCCCCGATGAAGGCCTGAACTTTGGGCCGAAACGTCGCAAAAATAAAAATAATTTATTTATTTTTATTTTGTTTTTTGACTGAACGTCCCAACCAACTTCTCTTATATCATTTAAATTTTTTTGTTTCCCATTGTTTTTTGAGATATCTAAACTTACCTTAAGATTTATTGTCTTTTCATAAAAAATATATATTTATAACCCGGTGCTGTAATATTGTAGTTCTAATAAATTGTTACATTAGAGTTAATAACGTTTAGTACATTTATCAGGCAAAAGACAGAATGAAGACATACGGTTCTCTAAAACTAATTATAAACACACTTTGTAATTATTATGCTATTAATTCTGAGTCCACATCTGAGATGTCTTCAGTTATGATTCTATTCATTGTTTAACGGTAAACAGATTTAAAAAAACAAACAAAGAAAATAGTTAATTATATTTTTCTGTGAGCTGTGTCGTAAATTATTTCCTCAACTATCTATCACATCAAATCATATTTCATGGTCTGATAGGAAAATTAAATAAAATAGGTGTGAATAATTGCATGAGAGTCATTGCTGTTGTAAATGCTAATGCCTATGTTATAACCAGAACTTCCTTCATTAAATTAACTTTTAATCAGTTTTATTATTTTTTTTTTCATTCATTGCTGAAGCAAAACCATCTTGTTCAAATATAGACTCTGATTGTTCTTATTCTCACTATAATTAATGTCCAAGTGACAGATTGTTGTAATACTCAATAAAAAAAATAAAAAAACCATTCGGAACGAATGATGTTCATTATGAGAGTGATTTGAAAAAAAAATAGGCATACCTGTTTAACATCAATGAAACGAAAAAAACTTAAAAGAATGATTGGGGTAGTTTCTAATCTCAACGTTGAGCTATTAATGGTATCATAGTTGCACATTTTAAAAGAACAACCGACAGGGATGCCCACTCTCTTCGAAGGTCCCAAGGTCGAAGGCGCAAAAACCTATTTCCTTCACTTCCAAGATATTTTATTGCTCACCTTTTCTTAAAAACAGAGCACGCGAAGGTAAAATTAGACAAATCGTAGATCATATACAATTTCACTTGCTGCGGTCTGTTCCGAGTTTTCTCATTGCCCCTTAGCATGAAACCTTTAATTATGAACATTCATTACCCCGCCGAAATGTATCCCCTTCAAAAATTTATCAAACCCCCTTCTGGGTACCCCTGGCAACCAATGTCATCTTAAACTAAACTCAGCCCTGAGTTTAGAAAATTACCCATCGTTAAGCACTCCCCAAATGAGAAGTTATGATTATTAATATATATATATATATATACATGCACATATAGATGTAAGTCTATAATTTTGCCTGCATTTCAAATGCAACTGAATTTATAATACTCAATAACCTTGGTTGCTATAATAGAAGCAGAAATAAATTAAGACCCGTCTGTTCGCTTTTCTTTCGTGCACGTGTTTTTTTTTTTTTTACTTTTTAATACTCTGTAATAACAGTATCTACTTCTTTATTATAATACATTTTTTTTTCCTACTCTTTTCGATTTCGACTTTTTAAGTCATGAGCCTTCTTCAGCAGCTTGGGGCTGTTTTAGGCAACATTAGTGATCGTTTGGTTCTCGCTTCTTCGAGATATCTATGGAGGACCTGGTTTACTAACATAACACTTGAAGTTTCTACTTTCATATATGTCTGTCGAAAAATTGGGCATTCAGAGTTTTTCATGTTCTTTTAACAAACCCTCAGAGCTTAAAATTAAAACTCATATGGCTTTCCTTGAAAGCAATCAAGAAGAGATAAAGAGGCACGCTAAAAGCAGTAAGAGGGTTGCTCAAATTACAATTCCGAATAACTCCAGAAGTATACACTTTGTTGTCAATTTTATAATCAGTTGTTTTTTAAAAGTTTAAGAATTTTACTTCAAATAATGTGGTGCGCGCAACACAGAACTTTCACAACCACTCTACTTCTGTTTTAAAATTAATTTAATACATTTTAAACGGAGCTAAAGCTTACAGATAACAAATCATTAAGACTATTGAATTTACAAAAACTGTATTTATTATATCCAGGGTAGACAATAAAAATCTAGTTACTCCATCTGCTTTTATAAACCACATAACTTCAGTGTCTGATCTATCTACGTCTTTCAGTTGGTAGAATGAATGACTCCAATTTCAACATTTTTAAATAATGGCATTTTAGTGATATTTCTAGTAGGAAAAGTTATATCCATACAGACAGTGAGTAAGTAGATTCCAGAGTAGGTGATTGCAGTATTGAAGTGTAGAACTATAACGGGTATTGCGGGTTTAAAGTTTTCCGCTAGAAAAATTACTAAAATCAATAATGAAGAATTTTGAAATTGGAGTTACTCATTTTGTCAAATGAAAGCCTTATATTTGCCTAGAGAGATCTGAAAGTACATCAGAATATTTAACCTATAAGTGATTATGAATTGCAGGACTATAAGTTAATAAACTGTTATTTTCCACTGTAAAGTTTACTAAAATGAAATTACGTGATTTTCATTGCCTGCCATGGATAGGTCAAAACTTATCACACTAATTGAAAGTGGATAATGTTGGGATTTCAGAAATGGAAAATTAATCAAATTATTCACTAATTTAAGACATATTTTTTTAAAGGTGCAATTGATGATTTTTCGGAATAAACGGCCGATCAATACCTACCTAATTATTTATTACTCTCCGATACGTTCTACAAGTTTATTTATTAGATAATTTTTTTTCCCTAAAATTCTCCGCTTTCCAACGATATATTATACGCATACCTTCTGACTGTTATTTCCGGAGATTCATTTTCAACCTGGATAAGCATTTTTTTTTTCCTCCAGTTTCCAATTATCATATTATTTCAAACTTCATATTTTGTCCTTTTGTATAGTAATGTTAATAAAGAGAATATTTTTATTTTAAATAAACCATATTAAAGGTACTTTAGAGGAAGATGTATATGAACATTGGACATTTAAGCTATGCAAAGTGACATCAATAGGGATAAAACCTGAATGATATTAAAAACCACTTCATTATGATACATTGATGTTTAATCATAATCATTAGAGTCGTTTTTGAAAAAAATTGTAAAAATGTGTTTCAGCGTTGATATAAAGTTGCACTTCCGGTTCTGAAAAAGTTGCTGTAACATCTGAGTCATATATATATCTTAAATACGTAATATAAGTTTTGTAGGACTTTTCGTTTTTGAGCTAGACTCTTCACATACATACACACACACAGATCATTTTGCAAGAGCTGGTTATTTGAACTCAGGGGACCTCAAAACGTGTATTTCCGTTGAAAACTCAGATTCGAAAATTTTCAATATCGCAATACTTGCCCTTACATTTTATACCCTAGTCACCATTACATTTTATACCCTGCTATAATACATACCCTAGTCACTTCCTTAATTTTTCCCCACTTTGACTATTGCTGTACGGTATATGGGGGCCTCTCTGGGGATCTCGAGGCGAAACTAAAACGTTTGATAAATTGCTTTGTACGATTCATCTTCGGGATCCCAAGGGACGCCTCTGTTTCCCATCTTTACGCGGAGTTAAATTGGCTTTATCCTTCCTACCGTCGTAAGCATTTCCTGGCATCCTTCCTCTTTCAAGTCATCCAATCCCACCGTCCCTCATTCATCTCCGATCTCCTTCAATTCAAATCCTCTGTTCGTTCCCGCAATACTCGTTCCCGGTCTTCTGATTTATACATAAGGGCTCACCGAACCGCTGCTTTCGACAAATCGTTCATTATCCGATCCTCATCTCTATGGAACTCCATCCCTTCCCATATCCGTCAATCTAATACCCTTCCTACCTTTAAATTCCGCCTGTTCAATCATTTTTTATCCATCCAGTCCCCATAAAATCGTAAATAGATACTACTGAAAATATGTACATAAGTTATTAGTTCCTTCTTCATTATTTGTTCTCCAATTTTTGTTTATCTATTTTTTTTTCTCTTTTATTATCAACTGATCAAAATTGGAAAGCAACTTATATGTATATGTGTATATATATATATATATATATATATATATATATATATATATATATATATATATATATATATATATATATTATTTTTTTTAACCAAGACTGTTCAATTACTCTGTATTTTTATTTATATATATTTTATATCTCTGAGGCTCCTTAGCCCTCATTTCTGTCTTCCTGTATTATTCTAAAGGGACTCGTCCCAGAATAAATAAAGTATTATTATTATTATTATTACATATATAGGCAAGTGAAA